TCATGGGCTCATAGTACGTCACAGTACAAGTGTCTGACGTTGGGCTCTCATGGGCTCATAGTACGTCACAGTACAAGTGTCTGGCATTGGGTTTTCATGGGCTGATATTTTGGAAGCAGGTCGTCAGGTCTTTCTTTTGAACGTTCTGATCAGCAGCCCACAGCCTAACTTTGTGTATCTCCCGAGGTCCTCATAGGAGGAGGCAGAAGGAGGAGACATATGATATGAGGAAGCAGTTGGGGTAATGTGAGGAGGGGGCTCTATAATCAGGAATCAGCACCGCAGCCTCCCAGAAGAGTCGCCTTGCTGTGTTGTGTGAACGCAGCATGCTGGGGCTACAGCTGCCGATACCTGAGGCTCCTAGGGGAGATGTCACCGTGGTTCCCTACTGCACACACCCCGTTACCAGATGAGTGAGCGGGGTGGGGGCAGGAGTCCAAGGTTCCCAGACTTTGTCTGAAAACCAGCTCCCAGGGTAAAATCAGCAGAATACAAGAACTCAGCCGCCAGGGGCACGCTCCTTCATAAGCCACAGGGTTTCCCTTGACCCTCATTTCGTCCTCCGTCTCTGGGGTCCAGCCCTCCCCACACCCATCCCAGCCACTCCCTAGCTGTCACTCCATCAGGTGCCATTTCTGCCTGAGGGGATATGGCCAGGGGCAACACGGTTACCCCGGGGACAGGTCCTGGGGCCATACACTCTGCCCTGCGGCTGAGCCCTGCTACCTGGGGACCACCACCCTCTTTCCTACTGGGAGGCTCTGACTTCCTCCCCTCCGCAGGCCTGAGGCTCATACCTGTGAGCACAGGTGTTTAGTTTTGAATTTAGGGGTCTCCAGATGAGGGGGCGTTGTCTCCTTGGGAATCAAGGGCATGGTCTTAATCTGGATGGAACTGGAGGGGTGTTCCCAGCCAGGGCGCCTCACACAGCCACCCTCCATCTGTCTGTGGGGGCTAGCGTGTGGCTGTGATGCTGAACAGGTCTCAGGGAACGTTTCAGACAACCAGAGACTAGAAAGGCAGGTCTGGTGATCTACTTCCCAAAGTCAGCCAATGCTAACCCAAAGCCAGGCGTTAGGATGACCCAAAGTCAGCCAATGCTAACCCATAGCCAGGCGTTAGGATGACCCAAAGTCAGTCAATGCTAACCCACAGCCAGGTGTTAGGATGACCCAGGCAATCATTCCTACACCTGAGCCCATCACTGCCGCCACTGTGCAAAGCCATCTCATTGGAGGTCTCCCTCTTTTTCTCCGATGCTCCGTTTTACCAAACAATATATCCTTCTTCAGAGACCAGTCCCTGAAAACTGAGTTGTTGTTATGGGCAAGTGCCATCAAGTCGGTTCGGACTCACAGCATCCCTGTATAAAGTTTCTGAGGAGCGACTGGTGAGTTTAACTAGGACCCCGGGAAAAGCAGACAGCATCATTTACATACAGAAAACAAGACCATACATGATAGGAGGCCTGATGGAAGTAGAGAGCTGAGACACACAACAGCTTCCCAACATGTTCTGGGGTCCACAGAATAGGACTGGGTTGGGGTGGGGGCAAACTCCAAGGTGCAAGTCTGTCCACACCTTCTCACTGTGAGTCCCAGGGCCGGACTCAACCCAGAGCACATCCTTCAGATGGATGGATAGGATGAATAGTTGGATAGATCATGGATGAATGGCTGGGTGAATGATGGATAGATGAATAAATGGACAGATGTAGAGATGATAGGATGATGGATGGATGATGATGGATGGATGGATGGATGATGGATAGATGGATGGATGATGAATGGATGGATGATGGATGGATGATGGGTGGATGATGGATGGATGGATGATGGATGGATGATGGGTGGATGATGGATGGATGATGGATGGATGATGGATGGGTGATGGATGGTTAGATGCACAGATGAATGGATGGATGAGTAAAAGGATGGATGTAGAGATGAATGAATTAATTAATGGATGGATGGATAGATGGATGATAGATGGATGGTGATGGATGGTTATATGCATAGATGAAGGGATGATGGTTAGATGCATAGATGGATGGATGATGGATGGATGGATAGAAAGATGGACATATAAACAAATGGATGTTTGAATAAATGGATAGCTGATAGAATGATGGATGGATAAATAGATGGACACACAAACAGACAGATAAATGGATAGATGGAAGAGTGGATGGATGACTGGACAGACAAGACTGAATGACAGATGGATGGATAAATGAGTGGGGTGGATGGCTGGATGACACAATGAATTAATTAATGACTTAATATGAGTAGAAGGAAAGATGGGTGGAAGGTTGGATGGATGGATGGATTGATGGATGGATGGACAGATAAAAGAGCAAATGGGTACGTGGGTGGCGGGAGCAATAAACTAACTAATAAACTATGAGTAGAATGATTGATGGGTAGATGGGTAGCAGGGTGAAGGTTAGCTGACCACCTGTTACATCCCACCACCTGTGTGATGATTGATGTTATGTGTGGACCTGGCGGGGTCTTGGTCCTCAGTATTATATAATTACCTCGGTTTTGTCATCTGCTGTGAGGGGAGTTGCCTTGGGGACCGGGATGCTCTGACAAAGCTCAAAACCAAACCCACTGCCATTGACTTGGTCCCAGCTCACGTGACCTTAGATCAGGTTTCTGAGACCAATTATTTGTGGGAGCAGACAACCTCATCTTTCTCCTGAGGAGCAGCTGGAGGTTTGAACCGCTGACTTTCTTGATCCTGTATATAACTCATGAGCCTCTGACCTCCAGCTGTTCGCATGTGAGCCAGCAGCCTGCCGTCTGACCTGCTGGCTTTGGGTTCAGCAGCCCCTACAATCACATGACTCAGAAGAAGCCTCCAGCTTGACGTCCGGTTGATGGACTTGGGACTTGAGAGCCTCCACAAGTGTGTGAGTCATTTCTTGGAAACAAATCTCCCTCTATGTTTACATACACTTTGTAGGTCTTGTTCCTCCCCAAGTCACCCAATTGCCCTGCCCACAGCCCGGTCCTGGCAACTACACAGGGAGTTGTGGGGGCTGAGCCAGGACCACAGGAAGTGTTGAGAGTCCCCTCCATGGCTCAAGGACCTCTAAGCATAAGGAGCACCATGCAGAAAGGTCACTCACCTTGGCTTTGTCCTCGGTCCTGGCCACTTGGCGGCATGCAGGGTGCCAGATGGAAGAGCCTGCAGAGAGACAAGAAGGAAGTGGTCAGTGCACTCCTGGGATGTGGGGGGTGCTAGGGGCAGTGATGTCGGGGGCGATAGAGTGGGGCCACTCCCATGGAGGTGCATACATCACAGCCTGGTCCAGGGGCTCACAACCCACGGGAGGGGTATAAAGTCAATGGGCAAATGTACCCCCAGGGGCTAAGTGCTTGGACAGGAGATAATACAGGGTCCTACAGTCCAAGATGGCCAGAGAACAATCCTCTCAGAAGGAGGGTCCCACGGCCCAGACCCAAGATGCCCAGAGAATGATCCTCACAGAAAAAAGCATTTCTGTTGTTTTGAGTTCAAATACAGAGGAGAGAAAGGCCTCTGGACCATTACTCATCGCAAGGGGGTTAGCCTGTGTGAGCCCACCCTGTTCCCCCTGGGCATAGAAGGCAGGAGCTGAAGGAAGCACACCAGCCTAAGTGGGCTTGGAGTTGGGGGTGTTCCTTGGGGTATGGGGAGCAAGCAGGTCATGGGTACAGAGAGGTGGACAGCAGGCTCTGATGCTGGGACCAATCACATCACTTGGCCTCAAGGGCCTCCCTGGGTCCCAGTTTCTTCATCCGTCAGCTCTGCCCAGTCACCCAGTCACCAGCCAAAGCCATCAACTCAACATGCTCACCAGGCACTATGTGGCCCCACCTGCTGGTAGCCGCAGGCTTTCTAAGGTCACCTCAAGCTGTCCACTAACTTTTTCGTTAGCAGCTCAGCACTTAACCCCTTGCACCACCAGGTCTTGTGCCACAAAGCCTCAGAGCCTTTGAGTCTAGACTCCATTCCAGGAAATTCTCAGGACACCTAGAGGGGCAGGCGTGGCAGGTGTGGTCCCTGCACCTTGAGGTAGAACACCTGGGACACACAGGTGAGGAGACATAGGTGCACTCCCCTTCTCCCCACACGGTGAGGCAACGGGCAAGCAAGCCCCTGCCCAATTCCATTTTTCCCACCTAAACATGAGCTAAGAACACCCTACTCCATCAGGTGGTTGGGAGAACTTTATAAAATCACTAAGGGCCAGCACCAGTCCGTTCCTCTGTCAGCTGTCTCTGCCATCTGCATCTGGTGTGGGGGTCATCCTCTCCACCCCTGCCCCCATCCCAGCTAGGTTAGGCACTCCATGAAAGTGGAGGCATGTCCATCTGCACACACACAGCCGCACGCCCCAAGCAGGGACACAGAATAGGAATTCTAGAGAGACATGTGAGGTCTCCCCAGACATCGCCGTCTGAAAGGTCCTCCCAGACACAAGATCTACAACAACTTAGCACTGTTAGAACAGCCACGGTTAGACCGGTGTGTGTGTGTGTGTGTGTGTGAGTAAGACATTTGCTTTTCATTTCTTTTATGATTATAATGTTGTTGTTGTTAATTGCTGTCGAGTTGGTTCCAACTCATAGTGACCCTGTATAGGGTTTCCGAGGAGCAGCTGGTGCATTTGAACTGCTGACCTTGAGGTTCACAGTCCAGTGCTGATCCTACAACACCACATCAGGAGTCTCATAAAGCAATGTTGTTGTTAAGTGCCATCAAGTTGGTTCTGACCCATAACGACCCTGCATAGGATTTCTGAGGAGCAGCTGGTAAGCTTGAACTACCAATCTTGTGGTTCAAACTGACTTTGCAGTCCAGTGCATTAACCCACAGCACCACACCAGGGCTCCATTGAAGTAACTGTTGTTGTTGTTAAGTGCTGTTGAGTCGGTTCTGACCCATAGCGACCCTGTGCAGGGTTTCCGAGGAGCAGCTGGTGAGCTTGAACTGCCGACCTTGCAGTTTAAATGGCTTTGCAGTCTGGATTACATCATTGTTTCTTGTTATTGGGAAATTGGCTGCTGACTCACGGCGACCCCCATGTACAGGGGATGAAATGCTGCCCAGCCCTGCCCCATTCCCATCCCTATCCCCACCCCCAGCATTGGTTGTAGACTGGACCACTGTGATCCACCGAATCTTCGCAGGCTGATCTTCATAAGTAGATTGCCAGCCTTTTCTTCCTGGTCTCAGCCTGGAAGCTCTGTTGAAAGCCATTCAGCACCCCAGCCACACACAAGCCTCCATGGATAGATGGATCATGGCAGCACATAAGGGGCACTCGCCGGGAATTGAACCTGGGTCTCCTACATGAAAGGTCAGAACTCTACCACCACTGCCCCAACAAGAAAATGATGTTAGGTGTGGACCTGGCACCTCCGGCGATGGAGTCTTTAGGGCTCTGAGGCTTTGTGAAAGGAGCCTTGGTGTCACAGTGGGTTAAGCGCTCCAATGCTAACCATAGGTTGATGGTTTGAACCCACCAGCCGCTCCGTGGCAGAAAGAGGAGACAGTCTGCTTCAGTACAGATGTACAGCCGTGGAGACCCTAGGGGAGTTCTGCTCCATCCTACTGGGTCACTGTTAACAGGAACAGACTTCACACCAGTGGGTTTGTTTTT